TTTTTTTTTTTTTGGGCTGGGATGCCCAGCCCCTCTACCTTATTTTCTCCCTCGGCATCATAATTTATTTTCATATCAGCCCAGCCTTCTTCCTATTTTGCACGCTGGATTGAACCCAACCACAAGCTTTCCTTCTCCTTTTTTATTTCTTTTTTCTCTTCTTTTTCTTCCCTAATTTGCCTTCCTTCTATACCTCACGTTTCAGTGCAGTCCACCATAACTCCCTTTTCTTCCCCTCGGCCATGACCGATTGACCATCATTCCCCAACAAACATAGTACCCTATATTCCATACCAAAGCCTATGCATCCCATAGCCCAAAATCACCTTCAAAACCCTCTCTGTTTGAAGAAAGTCTCTCAATGACAGTGCCGAAGTCAATGTCATATGCTTAGTTAATCCAGGATTAGAAACAAATCATGGTGAGACAGGAAACTAAAAGGAATGGGTTTGGGAAGTTACTTGTTACACCTGAGTGAAGGTGGAGCTTGATCGAGGAAGGGAACAAATGAAGAACCAGCTGCCAAAGATATCTCACTGTCTCAAACTGAAAACAGTAAACTTTGGATTCCTGCTTCCTGCTTGTCCTGGTCTTGTTTTGGGCACCTACTCTTCACCTTCTAGGTTGCACCATAAGAAACCGATGATAAAGATTGAGCAAAGCTGACTATGAAATCCTCTTTCGTCTCCCTCTAATGCTCTTGGTATGTCTAGGGACTGTGCTTGAATGGGAAAGAACTTATGCAAGTCGTCCGTTAATGCTTCTAGATGAACAAAACACTGATCTCTGATGTGGTAATGGCACCCTAAGCATCAATAGACTGTCCTCAGTGACCTTTGTTTTCCAGTTTCAGAAAAAGAGGTTTTGAAACCTTTTTCCTAGCTTCTCTCTTTTATGCTTGCCTTCTCTGTGAGTCTTCCTAAAACCAGTTGTGTCGACCAGGAAAAAAAAAAAAAAAAAACCACCTTCAGAAACCTAAATCCCAGAGACCTAAAAAAAATCTCCCTTTCTGTTTGTTTGTTTTTTCTCTATTTTCTTTCTCTCTTTTTTTTTTTTCCTCCGGCTACTGCCAACTTCCTCCCCTCTTTCCTCTCCTTATACAACCCTTCTCGTTTCATTCTCACCCTCGATTCTACTTGAACTGATCTTATCCTTCAATTTTTTTTGCTCACCAAGTTTTTTTTCTTTTTGTTTTCTTTTGCTTAACGTCTCCTTGCTCCTTTGTTTTGGTGCAGCATAGAGAGAGGCGAGAATCGGGGATCAAGGGCAGGAGATGGATTAGAGTTTGTTTTGGTGCCGAGGGATATTCTATTACAATGCCAGCAAGCCATTTCTTTAGACTAATCCAGAGTCTCCTTAAGGAAGGAGAAATAACGTGCATGGCTGGCGATTTTTCAGAATTTAAGGCAATGGACAGCAGGTCGTTCATTGCCAAATGTTTAAGTTCATCCTATCGTTCGTGAGATCCTTTCCGTTTTGTCCCTTTGCATTTCAAGTCTTCTTCACTTAAATCCCTGGAGTCAATTATTTTGGTCCCCCTAGCTTCAATTCTTTCTAATTACACCACAATTTCTTTTCGATTGCTCCCTAAGTCTTCCGATATTCATGAATTGACCCATAATATTTTTAAAATCAATTGCGATCGAATCCTTGAATGTGAAATTAACTTTTCCTTTTTTTTTTTTTTTTGTATTTTATGTTTATGACAAAAGAAACTAAATTTCAAATGAAGCTAACATTATTAGTTTTTGCCTTTTGTTTTATCTTCAAAAATTTAAAAATCATTAAGACCTAAAAAAAGTAAAAATAAAATAAAGAAATGAAATAGTGGAATTAAACCTAATTAATTTTGAAGAGTCCAAAATTTGGTTATGACAATTGCTCTCTCTTTATAATGTTTATGGTGTAAAGTCAAACGAAAAAAGATGTTTTCAATGGCTTTGTATAATAATCTTATAAATTATTTTTTAATTAATATTTCTTAATTTTATTTTTTTTATTATAAAATTGGTCCGATTGTTTCGGTGACCTTTCCAAAAAATAAACACAATGGTTTGGTTTTCATGGGTGAGCGACCCTAAAAGTGAAATGTGATGGGATGATCTTGTTACGAAGGATGGCTTGTCCGGAAAAATAAAATGCAACGTAATGGTCTTGTTGTCAAGAGTAGCTTATCTTAAAAATAAAATGCAATGTGATGGCCTCAATGTCAAGGGTGGTCTCGCCTCTAAAAATAAAATGCAATGTAATGGTCTTATTGTCAATGACATCCTACCTTGAAAATTAAAAATGTAGTGCGATGGCTTTTTTGTTAAAAGCGAGCCACTTTGAAAAATAAAATGAAATGTAATGACCTTATTGTCAAGGGTAGTTTATCCAAAAAATAAAATGCAATGTGATATCTTCGTTGTCAAGAGCAACCTATCCTAAAAATTAAAATGAAATATAATGGTCTTCTTGTCAAAGGCGATACGCCTTGAAAAGTAAAATGTAATGTGATGGTCTTATTGTCATAGTCGACCTATCCCGAAAAATAAAATACAATGGCCTCTAGACAACCCTACCTAAAACGATGAACTCGGGTTAGGCAACTTTGCATGAAAGTGAGAATTGATTGTTGAACTTTGTGCTTGGATGATAGTTTATTATGAGGCGACCTTGTTCGAAATGAATTTACGAAATATGTTTCTTCACCATTTCCTTAGAATTTCTTTATTTAGGGCTTATTGCAAATTTTGTCCTTTCTTTGGTATTGCGATGTTTTTGAAATAAGACTTAGTATGATAGTTAGTTGAGGTATCTATAAAAAATATAGGTTGCCCTACTCAACTCCCTCTTTGGCATTTCTCTTATACTTTCCAAGGCTCTAACATTAAACGATTATCTATGATCTAAGACCTTGAATTTGCCCCCTTGATTGTTATTTGGCTTATCTATTCTCTCAAATGATTACCGAGGTAAACTGGTCATTCCGGTCCATTGAAGGTTGTGGTTGTTCCCCATTATGGTCAACTACTAATCAACTGTTTACATTTGATAATATCATGCTTGATTCATGTTTTATTTAGTGATTTTGTTTGTGACTTGAGGTCTCATATACACCTCAGATCGTTTGATAATTTTGCATTTCATGAATTCTTTCTTCATAAGGAAAGCTAACTTGATTTTACTAAGAGATTTTGGATCCAAGGTTCAAAAAAAAGCTCACGGACACTTCATGGACTTACCATGCAAACTTTACAATATGGTTAATTTTGGGGTTTTTGTATTCATAAATTAATGCTGCATTTATCTTGTGGCAAAAATTGTATGCTCGATGAGAGAGAATATTTTTTTCCCCTATTTAGTATCCTTTAGTAATAACCATGATTTTGTATTACATGTGTTTCAATTTTGACTCTATTTTCAATAAAATTATTTTATGAGTGCTCGAGAGTCAAACACTCATCCGATTGATAATTTTTCTTAAGTTGATAAGGACTTTCACCGATATATAATGTAGGTTATGGCATGGTTTTCTTGAAAAATGAGTAACGTAGGCTTAAATAGAGTTTTCAAGGTTTTCTTAACATAGGACCACTTTTTAAAGCCTCTTTTTTTATATATTTTTTTTATATTTTAGATTGGACTAAAGACATGTTTGTTGATGATTTTTGTTGTCCTAACTTGTTCTTTGTTTTTTGGATTAATATTTGTGAAGCGAGTCGCTTCTTTCTATAATGTCGATTTAGTCATATAAAAGACTCTTTATAGAAGAAATAATCATATTTGCTTTTGACTAGGTTTGCTTTGGTAACAACTTTCCTTTTTGAGTTTGAGACTTTAAGAATGATAAGTTTTTTGGGGACATGCTTAAGTCCAATTTTGAATTATCGACTTTTTGCTCCTAGTATGAGGGGTGATCTTAGTCTAGGTTTTGTAAAAGAAATAGAAGGCTCACAATTGGATTCCAAAAGGTAGATTTGAATTGAGTAAGATAAAAATTTTAAAGATGGTCTTCCTCATTTTATTGATAAAATATGTATCTTAACAAGTTTTATTTTCATGAGCTCCTTATTGGGATAATGTTCACATAGAACCTACAAATGTAGACACTTGCTATGGAGTCATCATAGGAGGTACCAAAAGAGTAATTTGGGATACAAATAAGTGAATTAGACCTTATTTTATTTTCTTTTGGTTCTTTTTTTTATGTTGTTTTTTATTTTTTAGGATCATCATATATAGCATTCGCATGACAATTCCCGAGTACCGATGACCTCTTCTTTTTACTAGGATTGTCATTTTATTTGTCTAGTATTTTATCCAAATAGAATGTAAGGTGATTACCTCTTGATCGAAATCTTGGTCTGTTTCGTTGAGTCAAGAGTAACTTAACCCATATACGAAACTATTAGTCTAATTCGAATGGCATATGGGATCTCAATCCTTTACGGGTTTATTAGAACTTTTTTTTATATAGTAAATTAAGCCTATTATTTCTTAAGTAGAACACTACTATGACATCTTGTATGTCTCGTATATCAATTTATAAATAATATTATTAAGATCATGTGATGATAAAAGAAATGATGAGTATTTGTAGATTCAAAGGCGAGAGATGTAAGAAAGGAATGCAATGCACATGTTTGGCTCTGAATTTCATCTTTTATTTCATAGAGAAGAACAAGACATCTCTCAAGAGCGCGCGCGCGTGCGCGCACACACACACACACACACACATATATATATATATATATGTATATATATATATATATATATATATATATAGTTTTTCATTTCAATATAAAGGAGAAAGAATTCAGATAATGCGTGTTTTGACATACTATACAAAATGAATCAAAGAGATGGATCCAATCCAAAAAAGGAAGGATTTATTTTAGGAAAGGGATTAAGATAAAGAAAAATGGGATTCAAGATACAAGTACAAAAAAAGAAGTTTAGTAACAAAAAAAGGGGGGTACTTTCGTCTATTTTTTATTTCTATTTTATATTGCCTTGGTGACATGGCCGAGTGATAAGGTGAAGGACTGTAAATCATTTTTCCCTTGTTCAAATTTGGGTGTCGCTCGATCAAAAAAGATGCAAAATACCTTATTCCATTTTGCTGATATAACTTGTTGAATTTGTCCCTAATGAAGTAGCGGAGGAAAAAGAATCTTAATACTTCCGGGAGCGGCTAGTTATTGATAGAGTGAATAGATCTACCATTTCTTGAAATCTCTCTTCTGATTCAAAATCATGGTGTAACATGTATCCCCCTCGTTTCGATCATGGAATAGATGAAATAAATCAAAAAATGGATTTTTGTTCAAGAAAGAAATCTTATTGGAACTGTCCATATCCAGTTCATCCTTCAGAACCATATCACATCCCGGATCTGATGAAATATGATGAATTGAGATGGTATTTTATAAATACGTAATTGTCTTGAATATATTAACTAGTTCTTTATTTTTTAATCGCCATGGAAGGGACAAAAGAAACATCTTATTCTTTTTTCAACAATTTTTTATCTCTAGTGGACCTCTCAGTAGGATTCGAACCTAGATGAAGTTCTGACCATCTATCAGAGAAAAAAGAACGAATGGATCTTATAGGATTCCCAAGAAATTCTTTGATTTCTTCCGAAAGTAGATGATTATTCATCTCCTTCTAAAATGTTATTGACTACAATATATCAAATCATATAACAATGGATACCCTTATTCTATGTTCCAAGAGTTTGATCTTTCTTTTATATAGATTCTCTATTCCTAATTTTTGTGGAACATAAAATACGAGTGGATAAGGAATGAAAATGCCCCTTAATTCTAGGATATATCAATGGGAGAAAAATCCCTCGAGCAAACCCATATCTTTTGTCTCTTTACTTAGGCGATAAGGGACAAAATTGTTCGAACCTTTGTTATTTGAGTTAGGTTTAAGTCCGACGAGAATAATATTTTATAACTAACAATTCATTTATTTTCAAGCCAACCCATTTACTATTTATTATGTGATTGACCCCGGGCTCCTCCCACTCGCTTGGGAGCTTACGGTTTCATGTTCTATTTCACTCCTCGATGGGGGTTCTTTTCACCCTTCCCTCATGGTACTACTTCGTTATCGGTCACCCGTAAGTATTTAGTCTTGTAAGGTGGTCCTTACCGATTCACACAGGATTCCATGTGCCCCATACTACTTGGGTTAAAATGTAAGCTAGTGATGCTTTCCTTCGAAAAAGGGAGGGTCAAGAAAATCCTATTGATTACGACTTTCTCCGGACCTGCGAGAAAAGCATGAAAAAAAGGCTTAAATGGTACGATCCCTCCGTCGCCCTAGAATGAAAGGGGCGATCTCTTAGTTCTTGGTTTATGAAGATACGTTGTTAGGTGCTTTATTTTATTTTCCCATTGAGGCCGAACCTAAACCTCGTGCTTGAGAGATAGTTGTCCATACATTGATAATGGATGTATGGATTCTTGAGAAGAGAAGGAGCCATGATAGTCCCTCTCGAACCATCCGGATCCCACGAGTGAATAAAAAATTGGATCTACATTGGATCTCACCTGAATCACCCTATCTATACTCCTAAGGAGAAGTTTGGTTTTAAACCCCAATTTGAGAAGAAGAAGTATGCCATGCTAATGTGCCTTGGATGATCCACATCTCGGGGTCGAGCACTAATGAGCATATTGAACTATCCATATGGATGAGAGCCTTCATAGCCCGGACACAATGATACAATTATCAAGGGCGCGCTCTACCATTGAGCTAATAGCTCGTCAAGTGGGCCTTCGTTAAGGGCCCACTATGCAAAAGTGATAGAAACCCCATCCATCTCTTTCCTTTTTATGTCCCTATGTCATCGTATGGGAGGGACACGGGGCGTAAAAAGGGGATCCTATCAACTTATTTTGACCTAGGATAATAAGCTTATAAGCTTGGTCTTACTTCACCGTCGAGAAATGAAAAAAGACTTCGTCGACAAGTTTAACTCATACGTAGCTCCTTTCTTTTTGGGTGTGAATTAGTGTTAAACCAAAATACCTAACAAGCATTATCTCTCCCCGAAAAAGAGGTGATCCGGTCGCACCTTCCTTCTTCATGCGAGTGAGTAGTAGCCTATAATCCGAACCGAGGATGAGTTTTTGGAGTTAGCTCACCCTCACGAGATCACGACCCTTTGTCCCAACCATTGTAGCATATGTGTTGCCTAGGGCATAAGGGGCATGATGACTTGATGTCATCCTCGCCTTCCTCCGGCTTATCATTGACAATCCGCTCAAGGTTCCAAACTCAACGATGGCAACCAAACACGAGGGTTATTCTTATTGTGGGACTTAACCTAACACCTTACGACACAAGTTGAAGACAGCTATGCAACATCCGTGTCCGCATTCCCGAAGGCACCCTTCTCTTTCAAGAGGATTCATGGCATGTCAAGCCCCGGTAAGGTTCTTCATTTTGCATCGAATTAAACCACATGTTCCACTCGCTTGTGCGAGCCTCTATCAATTCCTCTCGGCTTTACTCTTGCGAACGTACTACCCAAACAGGATACTTAATGCATTAGTGATAACACCGCATGGGTTGATACGCACAACACTCGGTATCCATCATTTACGGCTAGGACTACCGAGGTATCTAATCCCATTCGCTCCTATAGCTTTTGTCTCGCAAGTGTGAGTGTCATCCCAACGAGTGTTTTCATCGTTGTTGTTCTTTTCGATCTCTATGCATTTCTATCGCTCCATCAAAAATTCCATTTGCCCCTATTGTACTCTACCTTGGTAGTTTCCACCGTCCGTCCGTGGTTGAGCCTTGGGATTTGATGACGGACTTAAGAAGCCACCTACATCCACTTTACACCTAATCATTTTGGATAATGCTTGCATCCTCTCGTATTACCGTGGTCGTTGGCATAAAGTTAGCCGATTGTTTATGGACAAAGCCGATTCGGAATTGTCTTTCATTTCAAGACTTGTATCCATGCGCTTCATATTCGCTCTAAAAAATATAGCCATCCCTACCCCCTCACGTCAATCCCACGAGCTTCTTATCCATTCTCATTTGATCACGGCGAGCGGGAGCAAGTTAAAATAGAAAAATGCACATTGGGTTTATGGATAATCGAGCTCGAACTAATAACTTCCACCATATCAAAGTGACACTCTACTCGCTGAGTTATATCCCTTCCTTTGCCTCCATCGAGAAATAGAATTGACTAATCCTAAGTCAAAGGGTCGAGAAACTTAATGCCATTATTCTTAAACAACTTGGAGTCGGGCCCTCTTTTCGCACTATTACGGATACGAAAATAATGGGAAAATTGGATTCAATTGTCAACTGCTCCTATCGAAAATAGGATTGACTATGGATTCGAACTATAGCATATGGGTTCAAAAAAGCATATGATATTCTCGATCTAAATAAAGCAGGTTTTACATGAAGAAGATTTGGCTCAGCATGTTCTATTTGATACGGGTAGGAGAAGACCCCGAGTCGATATTCTTAAATCGATATTCTTAAAAAAATAGAGAAATCAGAACTAAGTCAAGATGATACGGATCAATACATTCTTCTTGCACTAAAGATCTTACCATTTCCGAAGGAACTAAAGTTACATCTCTTTTCCATTTCCATTCAAGAGTTCTTATATGTTTCCACGCCCCTTTGAGACCTCGAAAAATGGATAAATTCCTTTTCTTAGGAATACATACAAGATTCATCACTACAAAAAGGATAATGGTAACCCCACCATTAACTATTTCATTTATTAACTACTTCATTTATGAATTTCATAGTAATAGAAATAAAATACATGTATATCCTACCGAGATAGAATTTGTAACTTGTGCTTAACTGAGGCAAAGATTTACGTCCATGGAAAGGATGATTCATTCGGATCGACATGAGAGTCCAACTACATTAAATTGCCAAAATCCATGTTGTATATTTGAAAGAGGTTGACTTCCTTGCTTCTCTCATGGTACAACTCTTTTCTTGCCGAGCCTCTTTCTCCTCGGGCCATAGAGACAAAATGTAGGACTGGTACCAATAGTTCATCACAAAAGAAAAGACTCACTGAGCCGGGATCACTAACTAATACTAATCTAATACTAATAGAATAGATAAAAATAGAAAAGAAAAGAATTGTCCTTTCTGTATACTTTCCCCAGTTCCGTTGCTACCGTGTGCCTTACGCAATCGATCGGATCATATAGATATCCTTTCAACACAACATAAGTCATTGAAAGGATCTCGGAGACCCACCAAAGCACGAAAGCCAGGATCTTTCAGAAAATGGATTCCTATTTGAAGAGTGCATAACCGCATGGATAAGCTCACACTAACCCGTCAATTTGGGATCCAATTCAGGATTTTCCTTGGGAGGTGTCGGGAAGGAATTGGAATGTAATAATATCGATTCGTACAAATAGAGAAGAAAAGATTCTTTATTGATTCAAATGTTGTACCTATTGGATAGGGATAGCAAAAGAGGAAAAAGCTGAAGATTTCACATAATACTTTTGATCAAAAAATCAATCTAATTTATTTCGTACCCTTCATTCAATGAGAAAATGGGTCGGATTCTACAAGATCAAACCTATGGGACTTAAGGAATGATGGAAGGGAATAAAAAATAAAAAAAAGAGATAAATAAATATAAATAAATAAGAGCCCATATTCCAAATGAACAAATTCAAACTTGAAAAAAATCTTTCGATTCTCGAAGAATAAGGGGTAAAGGGATTGATTGAAAAAAATCTCTTGTTCTTATTTTTATTCTAAGATTGTGATTGGATCTACATATGTTCGGTAAAAAGAAGACTCTTCTCCTTTGAGAATAATCGAAAAAGGAAAGTATTCAATTGGAATATGAAAACGTGACTCGAACTTATCCTAGTTACTCTTCGGGATCGAGTGAAAACTTACAGCAGCTTGCCAAACAAAGGCTAATAGAAAAAAGAACATAGGGATTACTGGCATTACATCTACGATTGAATTCAGAAAAGCATAGGCTTAAGGCAATTTTGTGAAGAAAAAACTGCTTAAATAAAGGACAAAATTAAGACAGATACAAAT